AGCTCCACTTCTGGCTTTGTGGTAGTTTATTGAAGATAAGAGTCTTACAAACTTTCCTGCCTGAGGCTTTGAACTATGATCTCAGATCTCAGCCTCCTGAGTGCCCAGCTAGAACAATAACCTTTCACACCACACACACACACACACACCCAGTGCTCCTGTGCTGGCCTTTGAAGCCTGGCCTGCTGCCCCAGGACTGACTTCTGCTCCTTCAAACACCAGCTACGATGACTTCACACTCAGGAGCCCCGCACCGCGGCTCCCCGGCCATGTGCGGGCACAGCTCTCTGCTCCAACCGCCAGCCTCAGCCCACAGTGGCCTTTCTCCCACGTCCCGGAAGCCTCCCATTCTGCTTCCCGTTCTCTAGGGCCCAGGTCAGTCCTGGCTTGGTCCTGCAGACACCTCCCTGTCCCCCCCCCCCGCCCCGGGGCGCCCTCTGGTAAAATGTCTCCCACACCCTGGCTGGAGCTGGGGATGGGGGCAGGGAGGGGGCCCCCTGAGCTCCCCTTCCAGGCCAGCAGGCTGAGCGGAACAGAGTGACCTTGTGGCTGCTTCTCCTTCCTGTCCCTGCCCCCCACCTCCTGTGACTTCCTAAAGCCCAGGGCAGGAGCGGAGGGGAGAGGGTCGGCCGGACTCCATCTGCTCCTGAGCAGCTCAGCGCCGCTGTGCGGCACCGACCGCTGTGCGCACCGTGAGCCCCTCGGTGCAGATGGAGTGGACCAGCCACTAACGCTACCGCGTGGCCGCAGCGCCACTTCTGGCTTTTTGGTGGTTAATTGGAGATAAGAGTCTCAGGGTTCCTGACTTCAAACTGCAATACTGCGCTCCTCAGACCTCAGCCTCCTGCCGGAGCCCAAGTGCGGGGTCACCTTGCTTTAGAACAGGAGGAGAGCACAGAATGCCGGTGGAAGGCTAACCAGCTCCCCCAGTGTCACTCTGCCCCCCCACTCGGGCACGCGTGCGTGTAATTATCCTCATTTCCTCCTGTTGTCATTAATGATTCCACACTGACGAACTCTTTTTCTCAATTGACCAGATTCCACTGGCAAACACCCAGATGGCTTTGGGCACGCGCGTGTGCGTGTGCGTGCGCACCCCCCCCACACTCCCTCCAGGTTCTGATCATGCCTGTCACAATGCTCACTGCATAGGGGACACTGGTGTGTTTCCCGTGCGTCGGCTCACACGACTCCACGGCAGGAAATTGAGGTCTCAAGGGGACAAGCCACAGCCAGGAAGTAGAGCCCCCCATCTCCGCCCCCCCCCAAGCCTCACAGCCTTTCTCACCCACAGCCGTGAGCACCCGCACCTGACACCGGAGGGACCCCAGGTGGGGTGAGGTCAGGGCTGAAGCCAGGCGAGAGATTCTCAGCCCGGTGCTGACCAGGGAGGGGCCTTAGCCTAAGCCCAGCTCACAGCTGAAGGGCAAAGGAGGTGAGACCCCCCAAGCCTGCGTGATGCCAGGCGGGGTGGAACACGCCTGTAATCCCAGCGGTGAGGAGGCTGAGCTGGGAGGACGGAGGTTTGAGGTCAGGCTGCGGGCTGCGGCCAGGTCTTCGCCTCTCTGGGACTCCAGAGTGTGCTGTTGACCCCAGGCTCTCCTCTGGGATTCTACCCAGCATCCCTTCTGGGGCCCCAATAGGAACTTACAACTTTGCAGAAAATCCCATGCACTTTCAGTTTCTCCTCCCCATCCCAGGGGCACTGCAGCCGGAAGGGAAAGCTGAAGGGGGTCTTCACCTGCCTCAGACCCAGGGACCCCAGCAGGGCCTCTTGGACTCCCTGTGAACCCCCAAGGGAAAGTATCTCCCCAAGAAAAGGGCCTGAGGCAGGGATCAGAAATTGTCTCCACAGCCAGGCAGGCCTCCTGGCCAGGTTGCCTTACTAACCATGGCAGGCACACTCTTCTTTCCGGGCAGCCAGTACTGCTTCCCAAAGGATCAATTACACTCCAAGGTTCAAGGACCCAGTGAGTCACCTGAACCTGGGGCTAGAACCAGCTTGACCTGTAGTAGCCTCTGGATGAAAGTTAGCTAGCTGTTAAATGCAGCTAAACGGCGGGGCGCTGGTGGCTCACGCCTGTGATCCCAGCAACTCAGGAGGCTGAGGTCTGAGGAAGGCAGGTTGAGGCCAGGAACCCCGGCAGGAAAGTTCCTGAGACTCAAATCTCCAGTTAACCACCAAAAAGCCAGAAGTGAAGCTGTGGCTCAAGTGGTAGAGTGTTCACCTTGAATAAAAATGCTCAGGGACAACGCTCAGTTCAAACCTAAGGACCAGCCCCCAGAACAACAAAATGTGTAGCTAGCCGGACACCACCAGAGGCTCACGCCTGTCATCCTAGCTACGGGAGGCTGAGATCTGAGGATCGCGGTTCAAAGCCAGCCTGGGCAGGAAAGTCCGTGAGACTCTTACTTCCTGCGAACCACCAAAAACTCTGGAAGTGGAACTGCGCCGGGCCCAGCCCTGAGTTCAAGCCCGAGGAGCAGCACACGCGCATGTAGATGAGGCAAGCGAGCCTTTGCGGGGGGGGGGGG